GGTATTATATGCCTGCGTGGCCCCGTGGATGCTCGCAGTGTCCACGTGGCACCCACGCCCTGGCTACCCAGCGCGTGCCCCAAACGGCTAGGCGATCCTCCTCGCCCCCCAAGCCAGCGCCTCGGATACTTAAGGCCGCGTTTTGACCCCGGTCAAATAGTGTTTTCTGTGCCGCGGCGAGGTCACGTCTGACCGCGCGGCCAGGTTGCCGTTTGGCAGGGTTCGCCAGTGACCTAGGCGCCCTCGCCTTAACCCAAGCCTTGTCATCATTGTGTTCTCAACTCCGTGTGCTAACTCTTATATTTAATAAAGGGTTTTAAGCCATCCAAGCTTTACTACTCCCTGTCACAAATGTTTAGAGGTTCAATCAATCTATAACCCTTTACATTCCTGCCATAACACAATACACTAGTAAATTTATTATCAACTGTTCTAATCATACTGTGGCTACTTCTCTGTCATATCCTATTTAGAGGCACTTGTCTTTTTGAGTGTTGGGAAATGGTGAATGGTTAAAAGTAAAATAAATGTACTAATCCTCTAAGGTCATGTAGCACTATAGGAAGGTACAGTATAGGGTAGTGAAGGGAGGTTGAGTTAGTAGTTAGCTATCTTGATTAATATTGAAAAGGTTAAAGATGCGTAAAGGAGTTTGATGAGTGAATGGGTTTGGATAGGGTTAGGTAAAGGGATTAGATCAAGTGAAGGATATGTATGCGTCTGGGAAAGGAGAACAGGTTGTCAAAGCAGAAAGTACAAGGTTCTGTAAGGATGTCTGATAAGTTGGGGGGAAAGCAGAGGTACGGCTGCATCAAAGCGTGGACAGGACAACAGAATGCGTGGAACTGAAAGAAGGACATTACATAGGGAACACTGGGGTGGATCAGAATGTGACATCAGAGAGGAGTGTGTTAGACGGGTGTGGCCAATACGTAAACGGGCGAGAACCGTCTCCCAAAGTCTGTTCCGAAGGTTAATGGTTAAAAGCAAAATAAAAGTGCTAGACATCTAAAATCATGTAGCACTATAGGGAGGTATAATAAAGGGTAGTGAAGGGTGGTTGACTTAGTGTTTAGTTGCTAAAGCTGGGAAGAGGAATTGACGAGTGAATGAGCTAAGGTCAGGTTAGGTAAGGGGTTAGATCAAGTGAAGGACATGTATGCATCTGAGGAAGGAGAACAGATTGTCAAAGCAGAAAGTGAGAGATTCTGTAAGGATGTCTGATAGGTTGGGAAGTCGGTGAAGGGAGGATAGGTGGGGGAAAGCAGACGTACAGGCTGCAACAAAGCATGGGCAGGACAACAGAATGTGTGGAACTGAAAGAGGGACATTACATAGGGAACATAGGGGTGGATCAGAGAGTGACATCAGATAGGAGTGTGTTAGACGGGTGTGGCCAATGTGTAAGCAGGCGAGAGCCGTTCCCAACGTCTGTTCTGATGAAATGGAGCTGACCAGGAGATTGATAGTGTTATGGTATGTAATTTATTAATATGGAGACTTGACCAAAGAGATTGCCATCGGTTATACAAGAGGGTCCTTAGGAGAGGTGGAATAGGTGAGAAGCATAGTTGGTGTGATGTGGACATAGTGGCATAGTGTATTGAGGGTTGGACAAGGTTCTGCAGGAATGGGGTTACCAGACAGATCAGTTAGAGTTGATAATGGTATAGATTGGTTTTCAGTTGTTACTGCGATGAGATGGGAACAATCGGGTCAGCTATGGAAAGAGACTTTGCCTACTTGTTTTTGGAGACATTGCTAGAAGAAAAGAGCGTTGCCAGAGTAAGAAGTTCTGAGAGGGATCATGAAAAATTGGTCCCATTTGGCTGGGCTAAATAGGGTATTTAAGATGTTTGAAGAGTTGGGGGTAGTAGAAGGAACGGGGCATGTGGAAGAGGGAGTAGTGTTGAGGGAGGTAGTGTTATGGAGAGGTGGGCAATAAGGCTGTAAAGTAGTAATAAGGGAGGATGGGGTAGTTGATGAAGAGGGTTGTGGGGGTAGAGGTGGTGAAGTTGAGCATGTTGGGAGAGTAGAAATGTGTCCTGGAGACTGAATGTTAACTTGGGTGGATAATGTTCTAGTAGGCAATGAGGAGGGGGTAGCAGTTGAAGTAATCGGAGCCGTGGTCAAAGGAGAGCCTGGGGTCAGGAATCGGGAGAGTTTGAATTGGTAGGGCTATTTGATGAAGGGGCAAGCCACATTGCCCCTAATAATAGTATAACACCTTAATTATTGGCCATGGTGAGCCTAGAGTATGTTTGGGAAAGAAACAGTCCACCCCTCAGGGTCCCCTTGACAGGTAAGGGCTAGGCAACTAAAGCAGGGGAATACCGTGCCCATGGCTCCCTCAGGCCATTCAGGACTGGCACAAAGTCAGCCTTTCATCCTTTCAGCACGGCTCTCACACCTTAGGAGGTGGATAGTAGAAGGGGTTAGGAAGGGGACGGAAATGAAAAAGCAGGAGGGGAAAAAAGACCCATGCAAAATTTGTTGAGTC